CTCCATAAATTTGGAAGAGAATGGAAGGGCCATCCAGTCCATTCCCCTGCTATTGCCATGCAAGAAGACACAATCAAAACACTCCCTGTGACAGATGGCCATCCAGGCTCTGGGACTACTTAGGATTAACTAGTTTAATGGCTAAAGCTCAAATCATACTGACATCAGCAACTTGGAGGATTTATTTCTAGAACTAGAATAAATGCCAGCTCCCTTAGGGAGAAAAGAAAACAATCTTTCTAACAGAGTTCTGTGACTCAAATCCAGATTTTGTTAGTGGATGTAACAGTCCAGAAACCATTAAAATCAAGGCAGAGCTGTGTGATAATGTCCTGGGTGGGGGTTTGCAAGGGATGGAGCTAAGAGCTTTGTGATTTAAATCAATAAGAAGTCATGCAGGGATGTCTCTTCAATGTGCTTTCTTTCCCATCTAAATTGTATTCCTGACTGTCATAAAATCATAAAGTTGGAAAATACCGTAAGGGTCATCCAACCCCCTGCCATGGAGGAATACACAAGTAACGCACTCCCAAGAGATGACCATCCGGGCTCTGTTTAAAAAACCTCCAAAGAAGAGACTCCATCACACTCTGAGGCAGAGTGTTCCACTGTCAAACAGATCTTACTATCAAGAGGTTGTTCCTAATGTTTGGGTGGAATCTTTTTTCCCATAATTTGAATCTATTGCCCCATGTCCTAGTCTCTAGAGCAGCAGAAAACAAGTTTCTTCCATCATCTATATGTCATCTCTTCAAATATGTTACTACTTAACCTTCTCTTCCCCAGGCTAAACATACCCAGCTCCCTAAACCATTCCTCTTAACACGTGGTTTCCAGACCTTTCACTATTTTGGTTGTCCTCTTCTGGACTCATTCTAGCTTGTCAACATCCTTCTTGAATTTTGGTTCCCATAATTTTCCACTCTAGCTTTTCACAAGAGGAAATGGCCAGATACCAGGGGTCTACAGTTGAAAAAAGGTGAGGTTGGGAGTTAGATGAGAAATTGTTGTTGCTACATCTTGTAGCTACTTCTCCTGATATGGGATCACAGTCCTTTACTAGTATAGACAAAGGTGGAGAACTATGACACATCAAGATTTTTGGCCTACATCTCCCATCAATTCCATCCAGCATGGCCAGTAGTAAGAAACTTTGGAAGCTTTAGGCCAAACGCCTGGAGAGAATCATAAAAGATTACCCTTTGCTGCTCCATTCCAGACTGCAAAATGTTTTAGGCCAGACTTGACAATGGGCTAGGTGCAGAAATATCCTGACATGCCATAAAACAGCTTTTTCCAGTTCAAGAGGTTGTGTGCTATTCCATACCAGGGCCAATACATCCATTTGAATACTCATAACTTGATGAAAGCAATATTCAGTGATGAAAATGAATTAATCATTAATATTACCTCAGATAAAACACTACCAGTTCATATTACCTCAGATACAGTAATATGAAAGGAGTCAGTTCACACATTCAGCTGTGAGCCACCTAATGATGACAAATTAAGGGCTTTATATACAAGTATGAACTAGTCCAGATGCATGCAACCAAGCTCTGGTATTTCCAGATACCAAGAATTAATGCAAAGGAAGAAATCAGAAAGAACAACTCTTTGAGGTAGGGTAAGTTACATACCTTCCAACATTTCACAGATGAAGACCAGGACACACGTAGCCAAACAACATCAGAATGTGGTCAAGATGGCAAAAACTCTTAATGAGATAAAACACACAAGCTAGGTGAGGCTACGGCAGCTTGTTTTTACCTGAATCATAAAAACAAGATTCCACTCTGCTGAGTTGAGTGCAAATTACCTTTGGACTTTAAACTCAGTTTGTAGTAATTGAAGTGTGCTGAAGTCAAAGGGAAGGAAATGGGAAAATGAAAGAGAAACTAGGACATTTTAAAAGTATCTGAAAAGGTGGGATGACAGAAGATTAATTAGGACATGCCTCTGACATTGGGGTGGGGCATAAGGGAATCACTTCATATCCAGAATATTCTGGATATTTCATTAGGGCATCCTGTGTAAAGGATGGCTGGACTCCACTTGGGGAGTCATAAATGCATAACCTGGACTTAAGTATTTGTAACGGTGTGGTATTTATGATCTGTATGTAGCCTCCTTGTTTAGGGGACATGTAAGGACCATTAAAGTCCTCCAATCCCCACCTGCTGGGAAGCAGCTGTTGCAGTTGATAGGGACCTGTCCCCCTATCACTTGGGAAACAGCTGGCTGACATTCCCCTTTCCCCTAGGAGAATGATTTCTGACATGAAGGAGAATTGCAGCAGGATCCCTGTGTTTTGCAATGGAGATCATCCACAAGAAGGAATAGGAATGTCAATCATCTGCTTCCCAAGTGATAGGGGAATGGACCCCTGTGGGTTGCAGTGGCTGCTTCCCAGTAAGTGGGAATTAAGGGTTGTGACGGAATTCACTATGTAGCTCCATAACGACTATAGTTACACATTCATAACTGCCCAATAGGATTCTGGCTGGTACTTCTACTGAAAAGGCATTCAGCTTGTAATGAATTCCTAGAATCACAGATTTTGAAAGATCTCAAAGGCTATCTGATTCTAACACCCCACTAACACTACTATAGTACTCCTGGCGGAAAGTCATCCAGCCTCTAATTAAAAAGCTATGATGATACCTTCTGAGAGAAAATTCTTCCCATTATTTAGCTTAAATGTTTTTCATGTAATCTGAACCCATGGATGGATCCAGTTCTGCACCCTGTCTGATAATAAGTCTTTCCCCCCCTTGTTTACACACACACACATACCTGCCCACTTTTCAAAATACACATTTCCCAAATCATTCCTGTGCTTCCATTGCAAAACCAGAGGCTGTATTTCTTTTTGATTTGCCTTTAATCAGGGAGATTATGAGAAATTTAGACAACCCTTTCTCTAGTTATGAATAATGCATGGAGTCTTATTAAAGTGTTATTGTTTTAATAGTGCTGTGCTGTCCATTTAATGTTCCACTTAAGACTCCTGTCAATTATGAAAACAAGCCATAAATAAAGTTGCTATTCCCGTATATTGTCTGAGCACTGCTACTTTCCTTATAAACTGCATTTCCTTGAACCAATTAATCCTACAAACTCAATAATCCAATGCAAACTAGTTGGAAATACTAATAATGCTAATTAAAGCAATTGCTTTTGGAAGCAGTGTGCTTTTGTTGTCATACCCAACTAGTGATTACAGAACACCCCAAATATATTAACGTTAGCTCAGTCCACTTGGCCCAGGGACAGGCAACCTTTTTGAGACCTGGGCCAGTCTCCCGTAGCCCAGGTCTCGGCTGGGCCGAGGGGGGAGGGAATGGCAGCGCGCACACTCATGCGCGCGTGCGCACCCTCCTCTGCCGCGTGCGACCCCTCCATGCACGCGGCTGCCACCGTAGGGCACACGGCTGCAGCCGCCATGGCTCATGTCATGGCCGCCATTTTGGAAGTCAAAATGGCGATCGCAGTGAGCGTGGCCAAAAACATGCCCCAACGGCGGCGCGTGGTGGCGGCGGCGGCGACAGTGGCAACCTTCGGTCTGGGCTGGTAAGTCCGGGGCCTGGGGCCTTAACTGGCCCTCGGGCCATAGGTTGCTGGTCCCTGACTTGGCCTATCTATCAAGAGCTTTTTTTAATATTACAACTGCCAGAAGAGGTTAGGAGATTCTGGGAGCTATAGTTCTAAAAAGTATCGTAGCTTTCTCAATCTCTGTATTTAGTGGCTCAGAAAACAATTAATTTTATGGTGGAGATTTTCATGTTCCATGAGATTCCCTTCCCTGGTTCATCCCTGGCATACTTGAACATCCTTGTTTTTTATTTCCTTCATTAATTGGCATTCCAATTAGAATGGAACTCTATATCATTTTAAATATCACTTCCTTTACCCTTACTAGGTTTTGGAAAAGATGGATGCATGTAAATTTCTCTGTCTTCACTGAAGTTTTGCAGCTACATCTGATTTAGTATCATCTCTGAATCTCATTAGAGCCCCCTGTTCCAATCTCCAGACTTCTAATGAAGATGCTACATCAGACCAACCTAGATACTTCCCACACCTCCATTCCTTGCTGTTTATCTGAATATCCCTTGTTTATTTACAGTTTCTGTCAGCTTTTCAGTGCTTGCCTCTTTGCCAGGACCATAACAGTGTCTAAATAAATGTGTTTTTCAAGTAAGATTGCTTGAGGTGACACAGTTTCAAATCTCTGATTTTTTTTATCACTTAATGTGTTTCTAACACCTAAAGATTTGCCGGGCACTTCATAGAAATAAGGAAAAACTCTTCGCCAGAGAGTTTCTATCTTCCATCATAAAAGCAAGAAAATAGAGAAGAAAATAAACAGAGAAAAGTGGGGGTAGGCAAGCTAGAGGAAGGACAAAATGCTGGTAATAAGATCACACAGTTATTCAGTGTGGCCTGGTCACAGCATGATTGTTCCATTTTAAAAAAATATCTCCTGCCATTCCCCCCCCCCACACACACACACATACACAACCTTGCAATTTCAGCAAGCCTCTATGTGGCAAGACTGCATTCACCTCCTGTTCGCCATGTCATCCACAGTATACCTCATGCACTAGTTGCCAGTATGTCTTGGCACATCTTGGAATTGGAAAGGGCAAGCAGCATACCTTCCTTTTGTGTTGGAGCCATTTGCTAGCAGCTGCCTTTTCCTGGCATTGAAGATATACAGGAGAGAGAGAGAAGAGTGGTGTGTAAGGGAGAGTGAGCTTTGCATCCCTTGTCCATCTCCAGCTTCCACTGTTCCTAACTTGAAACATGTTTCAGGTGTTAGGTGTTGATGAATTCTGCTTGAGATTTGGTGATGCAAAAATGATTCCACTTGCCACAGAACTAAACTGGTCCAGAACAAAGCCTTGCAGAAATCCTGCACTTTCTACTATGCCTTTAGGAGGCTTTCCCATGGTTATAAACCCAGAAAGTCACCTTGGCCACTATGGTCTATGACAACCAGTGTGGTGTAGTGGTTTGAGTGTTGGACTATGACTCTGGAGATCAGGGTTCAATTCCCTGCTCTAGCATAAAAACCCACTGGGTGATCTTGAGCAAGTTGCACACTCTCAGCCCCAAGGAATCCCATAATAGGTCCACCTTAGGTCTCCATAAGTTGTCTTCTTGGCTGTCCGCTTCCTTCACTGTCCAGCTCTCGCATCTGTACATGGTAATTGGGAGTGCCTCTGGAGATGAAATTTCTGGATGGGCTGGTGGAGGATGCATGTCCACATTTCAAATTAGTTGATTTTCTTTCTGTCCGCTTCCTTCACTGTCCAGCTCTCGCATCCATACGTGGTAACTAGGAATACAATGGCCTGAATGATTCTGACTTTAGTGCTCCATTGTATGTCTTTGCTCTTCAATAATAAATAGGGACACTAAATTTCCAGGAGGAGAGGCATTGGAAGGTAGATATGGTGCCTGGTAAAGTTAGGGTTATTTTGCATAGCAAACCCCAGAATCTCTGAACAAGCATAGTCAATCTCTATGCTTTCTAGAAGGGATCATCCTAAAATGTGACATGTCCAAGCTGTGCATTTAAGAATATACAGATGTAAAGGGGAAAACGTGGGTCAGTTTTTATGTTTACTGACTAAAATCTTAGAAAACAAGGGCATGCAGCTGTTGGAGGCTCCAGTGATTTCTGTGCTCAACTCTGCTGTGAAAAAGGCATGGTTCTGTGTTTTGATCATTAGGAAGGACTGAAAATAACACCACCAATATCATATTACCCTTATACAAGTCCGTTGTGAAACTATCCTTGGGATATTTTGTGCTGTTTTGGTCATTGCAGCTGCAGCAAGGTATTTGTGAAGCTCTTTCCAAAGAAACAAAACTGTAAGAAAGGAAAACAAAGCCGTAGGGCTGGTCTACACAGGCCAAATAAAACAGTCTCTCACCTCATCTTCATTGCAAGCTGCCCAAAAGAAGTATGGGATGGTTCAGGCAGAATCTAGGCCTTTTCATCACCTCAGGGTTTTAATTTTATGGGGGGAAAGAGGAGATTTAGTACAGATTTGAGCAGAAAATCTAGATATTTGTGTGTTTTTGTAGACTGTGCATCATAGCGATGTCAGTGTGGGGCTTGGGGTGGGAGGAGTTGTTGGTGTGTGGGTTGTGTCTAGCAACCCTGGTGTGTGCCACCATGTTTTATGTTGTCATGAGATCCGTAGTGAGGAGTTAGATCAGGCTACCCCTCCTTCTTTTCCCCCACCCAAGTGTCGCATTCATTTGTACTGTTTTAGTCTCCCCCTCTGATTCTCCCCCCCCCATCAGCATTGTGTCATTTGGGTTCTTACTCTTCCCCCTCTCTGATCCTCCCCCTGATTATTCACTTGCTTGCTTATGCAGAGATCTGCAATGTATGTATGTGGGGGAGGAAGTCCATGAGATCTCTGCACAAGTGAGCAAGTGAATGATGGGGGAAGACCAGGAGAAAGAGTAAGACCAAAGGTGGCAAAACACTGTGCAGATGAGGGAGGGGATCAGAGAGGGAAAGGTAAAAATAGTACAAATTAACAAGACATTTCGGGGGGGGGAGAGGGAGGGAGTAGCCCAATCTCACCCCTCACCATTGATCTCATGGGCATTTTCATGCATAAAAGATGAATAAAATACAATCTTTTATTCCCTCCATCATGTGTGTGGGTGTTTGTTTACATTTAAAATTCCCTCCCTCTCTCACTGGGGTGGCATGCATTCACAATGAATCTAATAGACTGACAGGCAAACAATAATGGCCACTGGCTGATAGGTTGATGAATGCTGGGAAAGGGAAAAGAAGTGAGTTTGCCATGAGGAAAAGTGTGTCTGGTTGTGTTGATGTCACCTCACTTTGTCTGAGAGTGTGTGGTCTAAACGGAATCACAGCAGGGTCACTGCGGACCAGAAAAATGCAAGGTAAAGCTGATTTTTATCATCAGTGTAGACACATAGCTTTTCATGCCAGTATAAAGTATTAAAATATTTTTTTTTCTAAATCCATATTTAATCAAATGTCGACCATTAACCTGTCAATCATTAACCAATCCCGTACTTGCTTACTCAAACATAAGATTCACTTAGGGTGCCCATGTGTCCTACTTTACAATGAGGGCTGTTTCTTGTTTGAGGGCTTATAGAGCACTTTTCTCAGTCTGAAAGTGTCCTCTGCCTGAAAGACAACCTGGTACAACTACTATTGGACAGGGTAGAGCAGTGCCTCAGGACCATCAACCAGTGAGGACCATCCTCATACCCTTGAACATTTCACAGATCAAAACCAAGACACCAGTGGCCAAGCAACATCCGAGTGTGGTTTAGATAGCAAAAGCTACCAATGAGAAAGAACACACAAACTAGGAGATGCTGCAACAGTTTGCTTTTGCTTAAGCCTACAGGGAAGGGTTTTTTCCCAAAAAATATGGAGGGCAGACATAGGGCCCACCAACTGTGTCAGCGTCTCCTTAAATGTTGGGGAGATTGCTTAGCTCAAGGAGACGAGCAGGAAGCTGGGTAACTTAAGAATCATTTTCACCTAACAAACTGTGGGAGGACTCCAGGTTTAAAGAATATAAGGTTTTTATTTGAAAATATGCAAGAGTGCAACCAAACACACAATAGCAATTCAAACAGAAACACCATACAGAGCTAACTGATATAGAGGTATGGAAATTGGATAGCAGAAGCGTAGGATTGTAGAGGTGCTATATTAAAATTTCCACATGGAGTATAAAGGGTTTGAATGCTATTGACAAAAAGAGTAATTTTAGTAGACGGTCTTAACTTCAGATTAACAAAACAGTGATTGGATGTAGGACAGTCCCAAGATAGATGGATAGGCAAGTTGGCTGGGAACATGGCAGGGATAAGTTGGAGAAATGGTCTTACCCACCTTATTGCTATGGGACCTCCTTTTTCTCCAGTGCAAGAGAATATGTGGAAAGCCTGAGGGGAGGACAGAATGATCAGCAAACCCATTTAACCTTTATCTTGGTATTGCCTTGATCCTTCTCATGCCCTTCACATGGGAAAGCTTCCTGATGTTCCAAAAGTCATTATGACCTCGTAAGATCATGCCTGGTTCCATATATGAAAACCCCATATACAGTGTGGAGCAGATGTCAGTTATGCTAGCAAGGGCAACTCTCCCCTCTTTTCCTTACTGCAAAGCTAATTGAATGCAAACTATTTTTGCACTTTGAATTCAGTTTGCTGCAATGGAAGTACGCTGAGGCGAAGAGAGTAAGGGAGAGGAGAGATGCTGGGTCATTTTAAAAACAGCTGAAAAGTGGGACAACAGATGATTAATTGGGATTGTTCCTACCAAATAGGGAAAGTTCAGAGGTATGCATGTGGTGCCACCTACCCCAGCTCCAGTCTCTGTCCTACCCTCCCACATCATCCCCAACTACATTGAGTCACAAAGTAGGTGCCAGTTTCTTCCACTTCTGCTGGCTCCTCTGAAGTCACCTGCACACACCTCATTTTCTCCATCACCACTTTTTGCTGAGCTCTCCCATCCACAGCAGCCATGCCACAGTGCCCAGCAAGCAGGGTGAGGGGAAGGCAACAGCATCTTAGAGGGGGCTGGAGGTGAGAAAAACAGGAAAGTAGGAAAAATGGAGAGTGCTGGCATGCAGGAGAGAGATAGTAAGAAAGCGAATAAGAATGGAAGAAGAGAAAGGTGGGAAGGAATGAAGAAATGGGAAAGTCTCTGAGAAGCTGGAGAGATGGAAGAGAAGAGAATGTGGAGAGGGAGATGAGGGAATGGGATGGAAAAGCAAAGAGGAAAAAGCAGAGCCTGACAAAGAGGAAAAGAGAGGCAAAAGGCCAATGGACCTCCAAGCATTAAATACTGCACTAAATCCATAAAAAAGGAGAGTAGGGACCTAGACATTGCCCATCAATGGTGAGCACCCAAACAGCAGATTCAATAGGCCATGTGGTCACATTCTTCACCACCATGATATACTGGTTGGAATCCTATTGGTGCCATGCAAATGTGTAAGTTGACCCAAATAAACAATTAGACATTTTTGTCTGATATGGAGCATCTGCATTCAGTTCAGGGTTGCAGAGGTGCAGTTCTATAGGTGGTGCACATTGTGTATGGCAAATGCAGATGTGCACTGTGTATGCAGATGCAATGTCACAATTCTCTTACTTGGTGGTGTTGCACAATTGCCATTTGACTTCATGACAGTAGAATTACACTCCATATTGATGTAGGATCTTGGCCATCATCTTCCTATATACATTATTCTAAGTATACCTAACTTGCATCTAAACATAACAATTAACAAAGAGAAATCTGTGTCCTCTTTCAGTCTTTGGCAGCACTTCAAAGATCACCCTAATCCCAATATGTTTGTTGGAGTTTACTCCCAGGTAAACGTGCATAGGATTGAAGTCTAAATTAAGTTTTCTCCAGAAATCTCAGAAAACTGGAGGGTATTTTCACCTTGACTTTGAATAGAACAACACTTTTATCCTCCTGCCTTTGTATCTTGGAAACATATTTCAGAGGTTCAAAAGGAAACATGAAAATGTACAGATTCCAAAGTACAAGATATATTTTTAAAAGCGACAGCATACTAATACTAAAAATAAATTGTAGCTAGTATGTTCTTTAAATATACAGCATGATTATTGCTATCTGGTTGCAAAGCATTCTGGGTATTGCAAGACAATTATAGCAATAGTTGCTGTCATATTGAAGAAATAAAGACAGAACAATGGATATAGCAAGAGCAGTGAAAGAAATTAAGAGGTAGCAGAAAAATGGTAGCTTGATCATATACGTAAAGACATTTTTGTTATATGTATAAGAAAAATGTTTCTGCATGAATGGAATGCCTACATTTCTAAAATTACACACATACCAGCAATTTATGACAATTATTCTTTGCATTTATGCCAACACATGAATATTAAGGAGGAAAAAGAAGAGTACAGTGATAAGTTACTGCACATTTTACTTACTAATTTAAAATATTTGTAGTCCTCCTTTCGCTTTTGAAACTTTCCAGCTGGCTAATGAACAGAT